CCTCCTATACAGCCCGCTCCCTGCCTTACCTCGTGAGAGAATGACACTGTTGTTAGGGACCTGTCGCAAAAACGACAACCGTGAAGGAAAAGCCCTGGGCAAATGAAGCTTCTTCAGGCTGTAGGAGTTACGAAATGCGTTTACTACAATGCAGCTTCTGTCAACTGGTCATGATCATATGACACCTTCAATCGATTCTGCAACTTCGAGTGAGGTCGGATGCATGGCCTATACCAGACAAGATCGGATGATAACGATTGCCCTTCTTATTGCTTATGTTGATAGAAGGTATTCTAGACACATTTCGAGCGTCGCCTTCGAATATGTACTCTAAACGTAGGATCGCTAACTGGGAAGTTCCTTCCTTCAAACTCTGCTACAATGGAGAAGACACCAAGCTAAACGGTGTGGCCGAGCGGTAGCGGAGTTGCTCAAGGACTATGTCTCCGCTGTGAACACGATCAGCGATCGGATATGGCTATACTCTCCGTGTACCGCACCGCAGACAGGATGCCCCGAGAGTGAGAAGGACGAGTTCTACCTGAGCCTGGACGAAGCCATAAGAACGATTCCGGAAGGCGATTACCTGACCGTAGCAGGTGATCTGAATGGCCACGTCGGCAGTGACAGGAGAGGCCGGGAAAGGGTGCACGGAGGTAGAGGGATAGGAACGAGGAATGCTGAGGGAGAGGGGATTCTGGACCTCGGCTACAGCCCACGACTTGGCAATCTGCGTTTCAATACGTTTTTCGCAAGAAGGGAGACTCATAGGTAACCTACAGCAGTGGAGGACGGCAAACGGAAATCGACTGTACTGGAGAAGATCATCCCTCAAAACTGTGATTGATATTAAAGTACTCCCCAACAGAGGCTTCTCTTGGCAGACATCACCACTGTTCTCTAAAAGAGGGCTAGGGTAAGAACTAAGCGGAGATTCCGGTGGTGGAAGCTGCACCAAGCGGAGAAAGTGAACTCAAACGAAAGGATAATGAATTTGGATGCTAAATCAAAGCCAATACCGGACTGCAGAGCTAAGCGCCGGGATACTGCGATGTGCCGAGGAGGTATTGGGCGAGACCCGAGGTGAAATGAGAGGAGACAAGGCAGCGTGGTTCGGGGTCAGGAACGTGGATGTTAGAGCGGTCATGCAGACTGTCCGTTCAGCAGAAGGTGAGAACAACGACTGCGATGGTATGGGCACGTGCTGAGGAGGCCACAGGATCTTCCAGTAAGAACAGAATTGGATCGGAAGCACAAGGAAAGCTTCGCGAGGAGCTCTAAATGAAGACTTTGGAGAGATGTATCCAGAAGAAACCTCACTAAAGTCAGAGTTACAGCAGAAGATGCTCAGGATAGAGCAAAATGGCGACGGCTGACTAAAACAGCGGACCCTGCGCCTGCGCGGACTAAAGCTGGGGAGTAAGAGAACAAAGCTGTAAGGCATTTTGCTGTGACTGCCTGAAGAGGATAGGATTAAATTATTCAACAGTGGTCAACCCACTTGTGAAATATGCCACGCATTCCACTTCTATTCAGAGTAGTACTGCATTTCAACATTGACTTGTGGGGGCCGGTCCACAGGCGCGTGCAAGTCAGTATTTTTATCCTCCCAGACGAGTTTCGTACCCATTAAATGACCTCGCGGAATGGAATGCTCGGCTGGCCTTGATACCTTTTGACCCAGGATTTGATCCTCGACCGTGCCCTGATAAAGAATAACACCTGCTACCATATCCTCCTCCCACCGGAATACCTTTCATACCTTTCCTATAAGGGCAAGACTCACCAAGCCAGGTTTGCTTTTATTCGCTCCATAATTACAGTTTCAATGCCACACCGAGCCGCATATTCTGCATCCTTCATGAGCAGACTGACGAAAAACTCACAATACGGTGACAGTTTTATCTGAAATAAGATTAATCGTCAGTCTATGAAGGCGATGGGGTGCATTTCGGTGCAGTTCTTCGTGTAGTATTAGGTTGTCAGAAAAGTCTTTGGGATTTTGGCAAGTTTTTTCCAAAATTGTTTTTCTCCTTCAGTGTAGCCAACAACTGTTGAACATATACATCACAATAATCGCAAAACATGTTTTCCGGCAAGGCAGTCATGTTGCGGTGCCAGGGAAAATCGAGTTTTTGAGCGGGGAAACTCAAAAGAGTGTGCTTGTACTAGGTCCATATCGGAGGCACCTATTTCATACTTCGAAGAACAGAGGTATGGTAGCTTGTCTCTACCTGGTTTGCTGTTCTCAATAAGTGGGTCAGATCATTCCATAACAAGCTCGTCCACGAAGAAAGAGGTGGTGACCTTTTCTGAACCTTCTTTGTGGACGAGCGTTGCCGACCTGCAACATTGTCTCTCCAATTTCTGAGTACATGCGGGAAACCAATCACTTGATTCTTCTTTTCTCCTGGCGTTGTCCGGTAGTGCAGGATCCCGCTGTGTCGCGCGCCACTTCGCGCTTTAGGATCTCTGCAGTGGCGTGATTTCTTAGGTCTTTTTTATACATTTTACTCTTTTGGGGCTCTCGTGATCTTCGCCTTCACTTGATCGGGGGCTTGCGTGTTTATTAGCACATGTCCATACACGCAGTCGTGTCCCACTTTAGCGGAGAGGCGACAGTCTGCAGACGCTCTGAATCTCGTGGGGTCTTACCCTGTTCCAATTAGTCCAGCGCGCAGGAACCAATATTCTGAGACCAAAGTAGTTAGGATTTGTCCACTTAAGTGTATTTTATAAAGGCGAAAGTTGTAGCGGCAGGCTGCACGCTTACCATGCGTGCGGTCCGGGGATCGAATCCTGGGTCGTGCTCGGTTCAGGCCAACCACGCCTTCCATCCCTCCGGAGTCAGTGAATTGGTACCGCTAGTGGGATTAAAAAAAAACACTGACTTGTAACATCGGCTGGCCCCCGCAAGTCATTGTATAGGCCACATCGCATTCAAACGCCACTGCGAATGTACAAATGGAAGTAGAATGCGTGCCGCATCCCAAAACGGGATTGATCAACGGCAAATGCTTTATCCTTTTTATTTATCACGAAATTCTTGACATACCAACAAAGTTGGCGGATCAAGCGATAGACGGGCGGCAAATCAAAATGTTGCAAAATTTAATGGTCTCAATAGCCTGTGGTCAGTCAGATCTCAAAATATCCTTTCGCCATAATTTCACTTCTTTTAGAGGCGATATTGAGGAACGGTCATTGTGGTCTGGTAGCACTGAAAGAGCTCCGCCAACTACCGTGCATTGCACTAACCACTCTCTCCAATAGAATTCAGAATACACTCGTCAAGGAGGGTGGCAGCTGCAGATTTGTGTCTTTCTCAACTATCCTGAGCTTGGCAACCAAATAATTAGCATATTGTAATCTGGAGGTCCATCACAACACGTAGAACTTCTACTGTTTGGCCTCAAATGACCATTTTGTGGGCTTATAAAGCAGGAGCAGTCGAAGTTTTAGTTCAACGTAAAGTTATACGACAGAAATGCTGTAGAGAGAGAATTAACCACCGCTCTTATGCGTTTAACAATGAATGTTTCAAAACGGTCCTAAAAGATTTTGTAAGGTGAACAAAGAAATGCGCAAGAGAACTTTTCCGACAACCCAGTACATTGCATATGACAAGCACACCCAATTTTTATAGAAAGGAGAGCTCCAGGAGTCGATTCGCTCGTGAAAGAACAGAACTGAATGGGTACTTTCACTTTTCCTAGCCGTCTATGATAAAACTAAATGTTCTTTGTGATTTCAGATGCCTAGAATCCTGTGCACCAAAATGCCACTCCCAGCTGTCAGTGTAGTGCCAAAGATTGCTTCACTGAAAAAGATGAGAGATACAAACAAAACAGTGGACAAACCCCATGGGTATGGATGTGTCCTTTTTGTATACAGTGATGATCCCTTTCTTCTTCGTTGTAAAAGCACTCCGTACAGGATGCGCATTGGAATTTCCTAAAGAAAGAGGAGATAGAAAAATTTCAAGTATAAGTGCTTCTTCTATCTGCGGAGCTCCCTTGGTCCTGTTCAAAGATAGTGCGGTCGAGAAAAGGTGTTAAACGAGTGTAGACCACCCAAGAACACGGTCCGTTCCTTTTAGTAAGGGCTTGTGATTGCAAAAAGAGGTCTTTCAGGAAAGTAGTAATATTTTCCCACTACATTTACTTCGCTACTATATTTTCTAGCAGATTTCCTAAAATTCTAAGAAAGCAGAAACTATAACCTCACCGATATGATATGTGTTGGTAAATGTGTTGAATCAGATCGTATCTGGAAGGATTGTTTGCATCACAAAGTAGGCATTTTAGGAGTCCTCTGAATGATAATCAATAAGATAATCAGTTTGAGGAGAAGTTAACAGTCCAAAACTTCCCCAGACAAATAAGCACACCCACTCAATAATGGATAACTTCATTAGGCTTATGTTTCTACCTCGTGCTTTCACCAGAGTTTCTGGAGTTAGAAAACAAATAATACTTACGAGCTCAAGGTCATCCCACAACCCATAGTACACCTTTACTGACGAGCCTAGAAACTACCCGAATTCACTGGAGGCGAAAGCATTGTATCTTTGCCACCCAATGCCGACTTTATCTTGACGTAAAAACACGATATCAGGAGGGGGCAGCGGATTCAAAATGTATATGCGAGTGCTGAACAGCTCTTCTGGATAAGGTAAGGTCTCCTTTATTTAGTTGATTTTGAGCACCGGTTCAGTTAAAAACTAAAACCTCAAACGCGAGATTGGGCTAGTGAAGTCCCATCGGTTTGGTTGTCGTCCAGCACACGATAAGCCGATTAGAGTGGGGTGGAGCGCCCTCCTCCCCCCCCCCCCACACACACACACACAGAAGTAGAGATAATCACTTTGCCACTCTATGCCAGTAGATCAAAGAGACGTAAAGGCCTCCAACAATTGGTTCGCAACAGCAGGAAACAAAACGAGCTTCACTATTCCAGAATGTGTATGTTTTTCACCGCTAATCAGTATCCCTGAGCAGGGTGAAAATCGTGTCGAGGAAATAACCGCCTCTTTACGACCCCCTCCAAAACATGGACTCTGATACGACCCCTTTTTGTCCTCTGCACATCCGGTTTCATATCAAAAAATGCTAGTTTCAGATGTGCGAGAGGGACGCAGCGCCGCTGCCACGCAAATGCGGCTTGATCCAAATGCTAGATTCAATTCTGCTCAGATTAGGTTCTCCTTCTTTCCTTTAAAGACATTTAACCTTTGCCACATTGGCCGGAAAGTAGAACATTGAAGGAGGTACTGCCCCTACACAGTTGAACAGTCTCGCGCTCCAGTATAGCGGCGCTAACTACCCGCGATCGCGTCGCGCGCTAGTTGGAAAAATCGTCAAATGTACCCCCTATTCAAAGGACTATAACTTTCTTCATTGATAACCATTTCAGAAAGTGAAGGCAGCTTTTGAATGCACAAGACTTCTAGTTTCTAAATTGTGCTGAGCGTTTTTCTAAGCACGCCTATTCTCGAGAGTGGGAGACGTCGAGAAATTGTCGAGGAAATTGAAATTTACATGCGAGTTCCCACTCTTTGGAAGACAGTAGCTGTCTTCATTGGCAATGCTTTGAAAATCGGAGGAAAGCGTTGTAAAGTAGAAGATTTACGCTTTCTGATAGGTGCTCCAGTTGTTTCGAACGCTTTCTAGTTCGCGAGAAATCTGCGTCGAGGAAATGTCAAGGAAATTTTCGAAGCCACTCGAAAACTCTATTACTCCCTCGCCGTAGTAGGGAACTTCTTTGAACACCTTCAAAATACTTCTGTACACGTCAGTTCGATGGAGTAAATTGAAAATGATGCACTTGGCGCGGATCCATTCCGTTCTTGTATGCGCCATGCAGTGACCCCACTCGGAGTCATTGGGAAGGTGTTTTGTCCTAGTGACGACTTGCTTAAGCACACCAAAAGATATTTCCAGTATTAACTAATTAGGATAACTCTTGTGGTCATAGTGATGTCTGATCATTCCTTTATTCAAATCGCTTCCTTTCCAACCCGTTCTGATGAATGACAGCTTGCGGTTGCAGGATCTGATGATGCCAAGAAGGCTGCGAATCTGCCTGTTTTGAACTTTCTACCAAGATGCTGTTCCTCCACTAAGTT